GGGAATAAGGAAGTAGTGGGAGTAGAAACCCCTTCCTCTGAATTCTTCGGGAATAGGTTCAACTGCTACCACTGGAGGAGTGTAGACACTTCCTGTCTTAGCAGAATCTCATGATAGGGGTCCCTGAAGAGGAATGGGGAAGGGTGGGTGGGAAGATGGGATGGAAAGGAAGGGGATGACGTAGCCCTTTGCTACTAGGTCCAAAACCCATGGTCGGATGTTATCTGCGACCAGGCCCGGTAGAAAAGGGACAAACGGCAACCAAAAGGGGGTAAAAAGGAACTGAGGAGGTGGGGGGCTAGCAGGGGTATATATGTGCTGGTATTCCGGAGCCACACTAGGGAGCTCCCTGGCTGGCCCAACGGATACTGTTAAGGGAAAAAGCTCTGGAATCCATGCATGCGGCATGCACACACCTAATTGGAATGGACACGAGCAAGCACTCAAAGAAGAACCAGCATGTGTCCTGATAGCTAGAAGCACTAAAACTTTATTTGTTGTGTCTATATACACTCTCTGACATGACATCATCATAACCAGGGCTTGACAAACCATGGCGAGATCTACTCACCAGCACCGCACCGCGCATGCGCCAGACAAGCACTGCGCATTTGCGCAGTGCTGGTGAACGGGGCAAACGGAGAGACCGGCTGAAATCTACTCGCCATGGGCTAGATGAAACAGCGATTTGTCGAGCGCTGATTATAACAATTGTCCATCTAACCTGTTAATTGGTACCCTATTTTTAAAGAAGGATGGCTAAAAAGATAATGTTATTTTCTCCCTTCTTTTCAGAATTAAACCCAAACTTACAGAAATCAGATCTACTTTTAAGGAAATTTTGCATGCAGGTAACGTATGAGAGAAATTGAGGAACAAATTTTGACACGTTTCTAAATTAATCAGGAAAATAAAGGAACTTACATTATTGTTAATATTCGTATTCTGGTAATGTCTAAAGGCCCCATTCATAGATCAGGACCTTGTTGTGCATGGTATTGTACAAACATATAGAGCAAGAACATAGACCTTGTCCTAAGAAGCTTACAGTCTAAGTGTGTGTTTCATTTGGCACACACATACCCATGTGTGTAACCAAGATCTTACCAGACGGTTGATAACTTATCTGCCTAACTGCAGAAATATTCAAAAAGCAGATGGGAGTAAGGAGCATTTTTATGAAAAAAAATCATGTTTCATTCTGTCAAATTCCAACACATTTCCAGTGCCCAAAGTTTTATACTGCAATAACGCACTTACTGAGAACAGCCCCTGTGTTCTGCTGACTTCAATTGAGCCTACTTGTGGTAGTAAGCATTTCTCTCAGAAGCATTTGCAGGATAGTGCCCTTAATTATCTTTGCCACCCACAAGGGTGCTATGCTTGCTTTTTGTTCAAGTAGTATAATATATAGTAGTAAGCCTCATTTTCATGAAATGGTGTATTCATATTTTTATATGCAGTGATGCACAACTGAGGATTTCAATTTCATTATTCATCTCAGTATGTTCTTATTGCATTCAGGGAATGGTAAAGGAGCCCTTTGTGGCTAATTTAACACCTACAGATTCCCAGGGTTTTAACCAAAGAGTTTGTAGCAGTTCATAGGATGAGTCATTCCACTTCTCATTAAGGTTAAACTTTTCCATTAAAGTTTTATACACACTTCCTTTTCCAATGCCATCAATTTTATTGTGGGTTAACTTGTACTAACTAGTTCTTTAAGACAGAGGTGGTGAACTATTTTGGGTTGGGGGCCGTTGACCCACAGAAAAATCAGTCGGGGCTACACCCAAGTGAGAAGCCAAAAAAACAAAAACAAACCCTCACTGACGTGGCTCCTGACTGAGAAAGACACTCTCCATATTCCCCTCCCACACCAGAGACAAGTGGGGAGGGCAAGTAGTAGATCTTGTGTGCTCCAGCCCTGTGGTGGAACAGCAGGGGGGGGGGTTGGAGCACCAGCATGGGCTCCCCAATGCTGGGGGAGAGCTTTGAGCCTCGGGGACTGGATCCAGAAAACTCATCCAGCCCTCAGGCTTGAGGTTCCCCACCCCTTCCTTAAAACAACAAAAAATGGTCCCAATCTTTTTCATTCCTTGTCAGAAAGAAAACCCAAAGAAAGAGCTTGTGTAGGCTGTATGACCTTCCCACATCTTCCTTGGGTAACCACCACCAGGCGAATTTAAACTTGGGACCTCTGAAGCTTAGTATAGGAGTCTCTACCCTTTGAGCTAAAAGCCACTGCATGGGACAGTGAACCACACTAGGTGTGTGGGTTACACTTGGATAGGCGAGCAAGTAACTGGCAGGTCTGTAGATAAGGAGCCCACACTACAGTATAGTTATAAGCTGATTTTTAGAAATTATTGCAGAACTTAGCTAAATAAGAAATAATGCTGGGCCTAATGCGGACTGAATAACAAAGCCCCCTTACTGTGCTTCCCTTTTGAGAACTTAGGAGTGGTATTAGCTTCTTGCCCATGTGCAGTGGTGGTGGCTTGTCTTGGGGAAATCTGGGTTAAAGGTCTCTGAAATAAAGGAATTAATTTGTGATGCAGCTGTCACAATTTAATGTTAATTACACCTCTATGGTGCACTTCAGGCATGCCCAATTAGGTCTCCAACTATCACCTCTCTCAGGGTGGCCAACCCATTTACCAAAGAGAGAAATTCAGCCACACCTGAATTGTCAAGAAAAAAAAAAAAGCCAAGTACAGACTTGTCAAGCAAAAACAAAAAACATTTTTTTTAAGGGGGCTGCCCCTTTAAGACATCTTGGGCGCCATTTTTAAAACCCCGCAGCTCCGACTTGGTAAGTACAGGGATGCGGAGGGTGGGAGAGAGGCTTCAGGGGCTGCATTTTTGGAGGACAAGAGCCGCATGAGGCTTGAGCGGTAGGTTGGCCACAGCTGACCTATCTCAAGGCAAGGACTTTTGTTCCACTATCTTCTTAGCAGGGGTTCTAAAGCCGTACAACTCTGCCTTCCACTGCACTATCCGCAACAAGCCTGTCTACCTCAAGGTCAGTGCCTGCTGTAGTAAGATGAGGACTTGAAACATAAACCTAGGTGTAAAGACTTTGCTAATAGGGTTGCCAGATAGTTTCAACAAAAATACCGGACATGCTTGACATTACATCACAATCTACATTACATCTTATTTAGAAAATACCAGACATTTATATTTTCCCCCCCCCCCCCGTACAAGGTGGATCTAGGTATAACACCACATATGTCAGGAGTGATGTGTAACATTTTTTTTCCTGACTTTGTCCAACTGAGGGGGCAATGTCTCTTTCCTGGCATTGACTGAGTTAGTCCATTGTTAAGGGGTACCTATGTGTAGTGATTTGGTAGAGTCTACTGACAACTATTATTGTACTTCATTTGACAGTAAACCTGGCCAGATGCTTTCAATCCTTTTCTGATTTTGTGGTTTTTAGATGCTCTCTTGGGAGTCTATTTGCACAAGCAAACACAACACAGAGAAGAGCATATGCATGCAGCTGAATGGGTATTTATCATTGAAGAACCAGGCCCCCTGACAGGACACCACAATGGTGACTTCTGACTACCATACCTGCACTTCACTTTCTCTCTGTGAAGAGTGTATTGCCAGCAATTACAACTTATCACATAGCTCTTCCTTAGCAAGCACCTTTATTCTTAAAAGCATTACAAAGAAAACAATAAAATGTGCCAGGAGTCACCCACCAGTCTTATGGGGCTCAAACAGGCTGAAGACTTTCCATGCCATCCACAAGGGCCGGGGCCCACCGTCAGCAGAAAGTCCTGTTTGTTGAATCAGAAAAAAACCCTTGAGTAAGTCTTAACTGCAGACTTTTTTGTACCAAAAGCTCTTTTGTCTGTTGGGCTACGTCTAGACTGCAGGCTTCTTTCGGAAGAAGCTTTTCTGGAAGAGATCTTCTGAAAAAACTTCTGAAAGAGGGCATCCACACTTCCAAAGCGCATCGAAAAAGTGTTTTTTTGGTAAGATAGCATCCATTCAGTGTGGACACTATCTTACACTTGAGCTGTGATTACTATGATGGAGTGGTCACCAGAGAACCAGTGCTTTTTCCTTTTTCCTCTTCTTCTTAAAGAACTCCCTCTTCCCCATCCACACACGCCTTTTTCCGAAAGAGCTCTTTCTGAAAAAGGCTTCTGCCGTGTAGAAAGAAGTTTACTAATGTCAGAAAAACCTCTGTTCGTCCGATTTTTTCCTGAAAGACGCAATTGCAGTATGGACGTAAGTGAAGTTTTTCCAAAAAAACGCTATATAGTGTAGATATAGCCTTGGTCTCTGGAAAATCCAGTTTGAACCAGTATATGCAAGGGTCACTGGGAGGACATCTCCATAGGTGTTTAAACCTAAGTGATTTGCCTTAATCATTCCCTGCTGTTTTAGTTCCGTGAGATCTGATATTCCCCATGGAGTAGAATAGACATACATACAATCTCTGGCCCACAGTGATACATACACAATACAGTGTGGTCCTCCAGCAGTATTGCATGTAGTCGCAATATGGGTCACAACTACATCTGTAAGATTGTTAAAGGTGTACTGCTCTTTTATATTGTGAACCTGAATAGAATAGTGTTGGGCTCCAGCCTACTTCATTTATCTCCACCCTACTAAGAATGTTAAGAGGCGGGTAACTGACTAATTGTGTAGTCAATATAATTTGTATCATTATTATACAAATGATACAAAATTGTATAATAATTTATACAATTATAAAAAAAGGGTGTTCTGTCCTGGCTTGTATCACTCCAGGAGCAACCCTCACTGTGGCTCTGAAGTTTTAATGTAGTAGGAGCCAGGTGTGCTGGCAGCCTGGCTCCTACATTTAAACTGCAGAGCTGTAGTGGGGCTAGATCCGGACTGGCGTGACCAGGACCAAGCTGGGACTGCTGCGGCTCTGCATTTTAAATGTAGTAAGAGTCGGGTGGCTCTTACTACATTTAAAATGCAGAGCTGCAGCAAGGGTAGCTCATAGGCCACCCAGCACTGGCTCCTATTCCCCCTCTGCTGCCTCTCATACAGAGACAGTGGGAAAGTGAGTAGTTGAGCACTCAACTACAGTTCATTTTATTTTTAAAAGCCAACTGCCTCAATATTTCATTTAAATTTTAAAAACTGTGTGTTAGATGTAGTACTTGCTGCCCATCACAATTCATGACTGAATGACTAGCCAGGTTGTTCACATTTAATACGCTTTTCTTAAAGAAAATCCACAAAAATAAGTTACTTGGTCTTAAACCTTTAATAGTAAAAAGGTAAAACCAAACACGCTGCTGAAAACTTATCAGTAAGAAAGAGAATTTAAGTGTTCAAATCCTGAATAGTGCAAATTTCATTCACTCTCCCACAACTGGTCACTTTGGTTAATATACTTAGAAGTATTGGCAAAACTGAACTTTTTACTTACATTTTTGGCTGCATTATTTCTAACACATACAGATTTAGTTTGTCTTTTAGAAATACATCTTAAATACTTACTGCTGTCTTGATCAAATATTTACAACTCATTGTTCCCTTTAACCACATCTGGTTATTTAGGCATGTACACTGGTAACATTTATTTCAACTTAACAGATTTTTCCAAATAGTGCACACAGCCATTTTATCCTGATCTTAGGCCTTGATCTTGAAAGCACATATGCACATACATTTCTCAGTGTCCTATTGCACCTAAAATGATTATCCTTATCAACAGCTATTTCCATTATAAAGGTTTGCAGTAGGAGGCCTTATACCACTGATACTCCATTGAAGCAACCGTAGTTACTGATTTACACTGACTAAAGCAAGATCAGAACTGGGCTCAGTTTCAGACAGCCTGTGTGCTAGTCTTTTACTTTTGTTTACTCCCTACCTCTCAAATTCAGGATTTTGAATTCTGCATCAAAGTATTACTATTTCCCTCAAAAAATTACAAACACTGATATTTAGTCTCAATGTCTCTTTTGCTGATTGCTCAGCCTCTAAACAGATGTCATAGGCTAGATCTAAGGCTACATAAGACTGGAAATGAACAAAAATGCATAATACAAAAGGCAAATTGATAAATGTACACACACATCATAACCACAAAACTGGAGTATTTCTAAAAGTTTGGATTCAAAGATGGGGGAGGGGGGGACAACAATAAGCTAACTCTGCTAGCTAAATTATTGCTGAATTGTTCCTCCATGCAGCATTGAAATGAATTCAAGAACCATTCTCTATAATATCTCATAAGAAATAATGAATATTGAAGAGAATATGAGGCTCAGATTTTACTGTACATTGCACTTTAATTTCAAGACCTAATACTTGCTATTTAAAGTCTACTGTGGTCTAAGCTATTAAATGTATACATTGTGCTCCCTAGAACTAAATATTTAGAAACACCAAATGTTTAATGTAGTGACATAAGCACTATTTTTTACAAGGCAATCACAGATTGCAAGTTTTATAGGATTGTGAAAAAATAAAGTAACGATCTCTCCTAAAATTGAACTGAGAAAGAACCTAGTAACGATGTTTCATTTATTAAACAGTACGGACAATTCTAGATTGCTTCTGCTTCCATTGAGTTCAGTCAAAACTCTGAGTGGAAGCAAGATGAGGCTCATCATCTGCTTATTAGGGCCTGATTCAATTTCCAAGGAAATAAATGCAAGTATTTCTTATTAATTTTAATGGAAGACGGAGGCCAAATTCTGAGCACTTGCAATTCTCACTAGTAATAGAGGGACTGCAGGCACTCAGCAAACCTGAGGCCCAGATCCAGTAAAATACTGAGGTATATACCAAACTTCAAGCAAGCATGCTTAAAGTACCTTATGGAATTGGGGCCAGATTTTGGCCCTATTTTGGCAAGCATACACATAAGGTTATTAGATAGACAGATGAGCTGGAATGAAACTGTAAAAATTTCATTTACAAATTTTAGCTGTTTAAAGCAAACTACATGAAACAAGATTGTCTATAGTATTCACCTAGTGTTATGAAGTGAGTTATAGATTCTATACTAAGTTACTTCAAATATGCAGTGCAGCATTACAAATATGGGCATGATTCCTTCATATAACTCAAAGCATTGCATTAATGCTTTTGATTTAATTTAGATCGCTTATTTTTAAACAACCCCTTTAAAAAAAGATTTAGATAAATACTATTCCTATTAAACCTCACTTCATCTTTTTTAAAGCACCATCAATCTACTTCCTTTGGGCACTGATACAAGAGCTTGTAATTAAATTTTAGTTTCAAGGCTTTGAAATATGGCAGCTGCTTCAATAACTTAAATTGGAATCTGGTAATTGGAAAATTGCCACCTAGCCAGAACTGCTGTATATAACTTGACATGAAATTCTTCCAGGGAACAGCCAGCACAAATACTTATGCAGTAAATCAAGGTAAGATTTCAAGATAAGCATTTCATTTCACATGGCTATTCTAAAATGGATTAATATTTTTCACAAGTCACTTGTGCAGTGCGCCCATAGAGATTTAGAAAAAATAATCCTCAGTCAAAAATAAGAACACATCTTCTTAATTTTGTTTTCATACTGGCACCATGTCTTTTGCTCCAAGGATCTAATCAGTGTGTGGTTTCTCAGGGATACCCTGTGGTTAAAAAAACAAAAAGAAAAAAGTGATTAATACAGTACACTGTACTGCATTTTATTATGACATACATTAGCTAGTGAGGTGTACATTACAGTACTCAATGTTTCTAGTATTTTTAGAAATTATTGAAATAACTTGAACAAATCTGGACCAGTATATGGGTTATAGGCCTGGGAGTTTAGAACACTTGGGTTCTAATCTGAGCTCTGCTTGTGATGTGCTATGAGACTTTTTAAACAAGGCACTTCACAATCTGAAAATGGGAATGGTATTTTTCTCTTTGCACAGAAAGTTTTCATCCATAGCCCTAAACTATTAGCTCTACATATTAATGCTTACAAAATTAGATTTAATGAGTAGCATTTAGAATAAGCTCCCCAAACAATTAATAGACTTTTAATACTTCAGAACTTTGAGCAGAGTATAAGTCCAGCTCAATGAACTTTCATCAGTTTTAATACAACATTATGTGTCATGCAGACCCCAATCTTGGAGAAGCACATCCATCTTTACTTCAGGAAAACCCTTTTGCTTCAACTTTAAGTATGTACCTTTAAGCATCTACCATGCACTTAACCCCTACTACTCTAACAGTGTTTTCCAGAACTGAACCCACATATTACAATCTAAAAATGTACTATGGAACTATCCATATAATGAATTGGGCGGAAATGATTTTCTATTGAAGACTAAAATAAAGCACCAAATTTGCTTTTGTTCTCAGTTAAGTGTGCTCATTTTTATGAATCACATTATTCTGACATTAACTGTCTACATCAATTGCTCATTGTCAAAACTGATTTATTTTAATATTGTAGTGTTCCAACACTAGCTCGCATTTGTTGCAGACACTCCAATTTTTTCCTAAAATCTTCTTACTGTTTTCTTTAGAATCTATTAGCATCCAAATGTTAAACTATATTGAAATTGGTCATGCACGGCTGTTTTGTAACCTAACATTTGTGCCAAGAAGCAATATAATTTTCAGGGCAAAGCCTTTGTATGAAAATGAAAAAAAAATCCTTGGATGTTCTGACATGGTTTGCACTTCACAACTGGTTTGTCTTAAAAGGATTAGATTGGGCATTGATATCTAACTGAACTAGCAGGTAATCAGGTTTAATCTGCATATTAATACCATATACTACAGGGCCCTACGTGTTGTACTGCTTGCCCATCCAGAACAGTGCAGTCCATGGAAGTTTTGGAATTGCAAGGAATAGAGGATAGATCCAAGTTTGTGAAATAAAACTCCAGAAGATATAACCAAAGGGTTACTAGTGTGGTTCCCTACTATTCTAGTTGGACAAGAGTTCTCAAAGCTATTATTCTCACATAATGTGAAGTATTTCCAGACAGTAATCAAGGAATATTAAAATCCAAGCAGTTTTAAAGAGAGACAAAAGTACAGCCAGGATGACAGTGTTGAAAATGGACATATCTTTGTGAAAGGAATCAAGGTTGAATTTGGAAGTTGTTTATAATTTATGCAGTCTTCTCCTTTATGGCCCAAATTAACTGATACTATAAGCAGAAGGATTATGCTTCAAGCAGGGTACTTTAAGGGGCGTCTATTACAGAGACTAAGCAAGCTGAGGGTACGTCTACACTGCACACTTATTTTGGAATAAGCTATTCTGAAATACTCCAAAACAGCTTATTTTGAAATAGTGCATCTATACTACAGGGAAGCCTCAAAATTAGTCTGAGACCAGCTCCCCTAATGTGGACACGCTACCTCAATTTAGAGCCACAGGAAGCACTAGGGAGTAATTACTCTGAATAGCCCTGGGGAGGAGCTATTTTGAAATGGCAGCCATGGAGTGTCCACACTACAGCTATTTCGAAATAGGCATTATTCCTTGTGGAATGAGGTTTACAGAAGCTAGAATAAGCCATCCATTATTTTGAAATAACGGAATTGCTGTGTAGATGCTTGCATTGTTATTTAGAAACATCAGTTATTTCAAAATAATTGTACCCTCAAAGCACTACTGATTTCACCTGTAACAGTCAGAAGTGTTAGATAACACATTATAAAAAAAATCACACACAAAAATAATTAGTACTGCAAAGTAAAGCATTCAAATTAGAAAGTGCCAAAATTAACATTCTCCTTCTGTGTATTCATAATAATAGTCTTTACATGATCACATTTATTTCCCATCAGATCCCTGCTTTATTCAGTGCATTAGACTGTGTGTGTTCATTTAGCAGGTAGTGATTCAATATTTCTTTTTACTTTCATCACTCAATGTGTAGCCCCAGGCCTTAATTACTGCACATAATCTAAGTCCTATATGGAATACAGAATTCTTCATTTCCTCACAGGCTTTTTTTTTTTAAATGTTCATCTGAGCACTTCATAAATATTAATACATTTATCTTTACAGCATCCCCAGGTGAGGGGATGATATCCCCATTTTATAGATGAGGAACTGAGGCACAGAGATTAAGGCACAAATAAAACTGGGCTCCCAGGGGGGGAAAAAAATAGCCACCTCAGAAAAGTTTGGTTTAGGTGACTTGTTTAGCATTACAAACTCTGTAGCAAATGTTGGGATAGAATTCAGCTTTCTAGGGTGACATTTAACAGCCTTAGTCAGAAGTAAAGCCTCCTCATAGAATTCTCTATTTCACACAACTTGCTGCAACAAAGTGATACAAGAGCCCTAAAGTTATTTTGTGGGAAGTATAATAAGCTCTCCTAGGCTCTATTATTTTTTGGAAAAAGATACACAAATAGTGGTTCTCAATTTGCGTATCTTTCTCTGATTCTTTTTTTGAAAGATGCTTTTCTGACATTTGGCCTGTTTACACAGGGCCAAATGTGGGAAAACCTCCTCTTTCAGAAAAGCCCTTATTCCTCATAAAATGAGGAAAACAAGGCTTCCAAAAGAATGTGCCCACTTTTTCAGAAACTAATCCGAAAAAACAGATAGGTTCCCTGGACACAGCAGAGTTTTTCTGGGACACCTCTGGCATCCCAGAATGTCTGTAGTGTAGACATAGCCCCAGACAAGTTACACTAGTACTGAGAAACTCCTGTTGCGGGAGCCCCATTGTGCTAGGTGCTATACAAATATATAATCCCTACCTAGGAAAGCTTATAATCTTGGTTTGTGAAAAGATACAGCAAGAGTAGCTTCAATAAACTGGTGGAGAGAGATAGAGGGTGACTAATGAAAATGTTTTAAACAGCCCAGCTCGGTACATGAGTCCACACTTTGGGGTTTTTTTCTGGAGTGGGGGGATGGGGAGGGGGGTTGAAGGGAGGGTTCAAAGTTAGGCCTGAAAATTCCTATTGAAAATTCCTATTGCACTTTATTACGCCAGGGATGAATTTGTTCTAGAAGGTTGATTTTAAGTGAGGAATGTCAAGTGTGAGTGGGGGCTAGAGATTAGTCTCTAGCTCTACCTAGCTACTTGCCAAATTAAGATGCAACAGGTGCCCTGTAAGGTTGCTCAGTACAAATGTTTCTCAAGGTAAGGCTCAGGTAGGTGTTCACTGGCACAACCAGGGCCTACTGTATTTTAGGAGTTTACCAGCTACCATCAAATTAAGTATCTGATGTCATAACTTGTGTTGCTCAAAAAAAAAAAAAAAGAGAGAGCAAAAGTACCTTTATTACCTCCCATAAATGAACAGACAGATGTTTATGAAAGCCTTATTAAGAGGGAACTATAGTCATTAAATCTTAATCATATGGTCACATTACTGTTGCAAGGCAGTCCTAAAGAGAGGCACACCTGTGTGATGAGCAAAAAGAAAGCCATGCTTTTAAGTAGTACAGACAAAAAGGGAGGAGTCCACTTAATTACAGGAAGTGAAGTTTCTCACAACAGAAGCAGCAAGCAACAATACTATAAGATAGTCAACCTTTGTTTCATAACGAACATCATGTGCTAAGTCACAACAATCAAGTTGTTTCCTCAATGAGCCAACATTGAAATCATCCATGTTGTTATAGGGCAGTAATCATGCTGGAGTTCTGACTCACATGGTTCCATTATCCCAATCAAATACAAAGGGGGCCATACAAGATCTCTAGAATTAACTTAAGGTATGAAGTCAGTAGTCCAGTAGAAGGAACCAGAGGAGCATCAAAGCCCAGAGGAGATGTTTGAGGGGAACTCTGATCAAAGTGTTAATTTGTCAATACACCCAAACTCCATGAAGGGGATTTGTTTAGACTCTATAGAGTCAGACACCATCTAAGGCTGTGACAGTCTCCTACTCGCATTTTAAAAGTGAATAATTCACGAAGAACAGTTGTATAGCAAAGTTTTATTTATTTTTAACAAAGGATGAACCAGAGGGGGAAACTGTTACCATCAATTTCAGCAAGGCATGGAGTTCACTCAGTCATTAGTTGCAAGTTTAAAAAAAAAAAGTCACATGCTATGGAATAGGATTATGACAGACTTTGTTGCATTGCATTTTTCAAGTTTATCTGGATGCTATAGGGTGCCAAACAAATACAATACACCTAGGGTGCATTTTTATTTCTTAATCTCTTTGCTGTCTAATCATGGTAGCAATACAAAAATGGAGACTTTGCCATCCACGATGCTTAACTGTTTAGCTCCAGATGTGGCAGGGGTGGTGGTAGCAGTAGCTTCTATTTGGAAACCATATTACTGTCTTAGAGAAATCAGGAGTAGTTGTAGCCTCAGTTTCAGGTATTCTGCTCACTATGAAGTTCTCCATGTGAAACTAGAACACATTTAAAATACTGGACTCCAGAAGATTATAACAATCAGAAAACTAGGGCAGCCTCACACTATGTTCTTCACCAGACCAAAAATATATACAGAGGTAGAGAAAGAAGACATGCTTCTAAAAGCTACACAGTACAATCAGGAAGTGTAGAAAGGTACAATTCTGACAGCGAGTTGAAGGCTTACATGCACTGGGCTTGATTCTGCATTGTCGTGAACTTTCTCTAGTCATTTATATACAAGCAAAGTGGCATAAGATGCTACCTTTCTGATTTGGTAGAATTATACACACACCAAATCCCTTAGCTGTGACTAGGCAAAGATGCAATGCAGTGGAGAATTAAGCCTTCATTTCAACACTCACTCCTTTGATCCAGAATGTTAAGATAGGGAGGAGTCTAGTCCTGTTATTTAAAATTATAAGAGAAGACTTTTACATAAGATGTACAGATGGCTTTCTTAAACACACTATAGTAATCTGGTTACTGGAGAAGACCTTATAGTGTCAACATGGATGGCAGCACAATCAGATGGGTTATACACTTCAGCAGGTCGAACTCCAGGTTGTGTCCAAAGAAGGGATGTAAAATACTATTTAATTGGCTAACCCAGATTGTTTAACTTCTTAACCAATTAGAGGCAGGTGAGTGGACTAGGGCAGCTCCCCTGCTACAAGCAGAGGTGCCCAGGCCTGTGGAGACAGAAGCTGTGCTGGTTGGGATGCTGGAACACCCTTGTCTCCTGTGGGCCCCCCATAGAGCTGGAGCAGCCCCATGTCTGTTGCAGTTGGGGAGCTGCCCCATCCCCTACTGGTTAAACCTTCACATCCCTAAGCCAAAGCCAATTTAATGAACGTCATATTGCTCCAGATTACAAGAGATGGCAACAAGGCAACTTTTCTTCCACTGAAAGAACTCTTTAAGGCTGTGTCTAGACTGGCAACTTTTTCAGCAAAAGCAGCTATTCTTGCGGAAAAACTTGCCAGTCGTCTACACTAGCCGCTTGAATTTTTGCAAGAACACTGACGATCTCATGTAAGAAATCAGTGCTTCTTGCGGAAATACTATACTGCTCCTGTTCGGGCAAAAGTCCTTTTATGCAAAAGGGCCAGTGTAGACATCTCAGATTTGTTTTGCGCAAAAAAGCCCTGATTGCGAAAATGGTGATCGGGGCTTTTTTGCACAAAAAAGCATCTAGATTGCGGAAAAGCGTCCGTGCCAATCTAGATGCTCTTTTCCTCAAATGCTTTTAACGGAAAACTTTTCTGTTAAAAGCATTTGCGGAAAATCATGCCAATCTAGACGTAGCCTAAGTGTACAGCTTTTTGTTTTAAGATTGGGGTGGGGAAACCTTTTTTGGGTTGGAGGCCACTGACCCACAGGAAAAAAAACGGGGTGGGCGCACACACACAAGTGAAGCAAAAGACCCCCAAACAAACCCCCACTGACGTGCCCCTGACTGAGAAGGAGAAAGACACTTCTTGCACAGCAGAGCCTTGGGGACCCAGGCTACTCGATTGTGTGCTCCAAACTGGAGCACCACTGCAGGCTCCTTAATGCTGGGAGGAGAGCCAGAGGGAAGCCAGAGGCTGCATCTGGCCCCAGGCCTGAGGCTCCCCACCCCTGTTTTAATTAGTTCTAAAAAAGCATCTACCACTCATATTTATAGGATTTCATATTTATAGGATTTCAAGAGCTTTCAACTGGCTCACTGTGTGGCTATAGTGTAGAGAACGTTGTTATAAAAATAACCATTTAGTTCAGGTTAAATTTAAACTACAATAGTGTATCTTCTCCCACCCTTGTTTACAAATCTGTTAGGTTCTTCCACAGAAACCTGATGGATCACTGAATGATTTTTCAGATCATCCAAAAAGCATTAGAGAAGATCTAATGGAACAGGTTACACAATTCCATTTTCAGTTTAACCATTCATATTTTCTTATAACTTTTAGTGATAATGGATTTTTCAAAATTATAGTAAGAGCTGGCTGGAAATCCCTTCCCATAAAAAAAAAAGTTTCACATTTTATCAAAAAAGTCAAAGTGCAATATTTTCAAAGGAAGAAATTTCCATAAAAATTCTACTTTTGGAAAACTACAACGGAACCTTCAGCTTGCTGCCTGCCTGCTAGAAGGCTATTGAACAATTTTGCTTTTTCCTTGCAAGAGAGGAGTGAAAACACTTTCCAGGTGAACAACTGTTTTGATTTTTTTCCTCAATGCAAATGAATTCTTTAAAAAAAAATCTGAAGTTTAATGCAGAAAGTTTCTATTCCACAAAAAAAGATTATTTTTCAGTTATTTCAGTGGAAAAATCTCCATCTCTAGTAATGATAGCAATAAAGGATTCTTATTTGTTACAGTAACTCCTCATCATCCCCTTTGTCAAGTTTTGCCCTTTCTTTGTAGAACTTTAATTCTGGTATTCTTCCTGGAAAACCCATCCAATTCTGTATTTGGTCAGCATTGCTAATTTAGTGTTACCAGTGTGAAGGGAGGGTCTCAGATTTCTGCAGCAGTTTGATTTGTCTAGACTTGAGGTGGGGACAAAGACAACTTCCTCATTAATAAGAATGCTGCACAATGCAGCATGAAATATACACGAACAGCAGCTGTATATCCTTTATTATGGAGGTACCAGTTGCAACTCAGTAATTTAAGATCTATTTTGGATCTAAAGCAAGGAGACAGTGAAGAGATCTTTCTGTTTGCGCTTTAGAATGCTCACTCTAAAGATACATTACATGCACCACTCTAGAAACACTAATTTCTTCTTATCTGGGTTGTGTTCAGCATGTCATTCTAACGGAAAGGAACAGATTATATTGTTACTGGGTTTTTAAAATTATATTAATGGTTGGAGATTAAAAATATCATTAATGAAAACTGATACTGAACTGACTGAAAAGTTTGAGAGCATGAACATAACCATGGGACCCAGGACCAGATGTCATAAACGAGTACCTTCAAAATGTGCCCAAAATTCTGAAGGGAGGTGACCTCCAGTATGCTCCTTCACTCAACTTTTTTTATACCTCCCTCTTTTCTGCAAGACTCCCTAATTAGGTCAGTAATAGGCCCTATGGCCTTTTGACATTATTTGACCCTTCTCTCCAATCTTCCTAATCTGACTTTTCTGCAAGCCACTGTTGAAAACTACTGTCCCAAAGGCATGGATGGGGTCAGTCAAGTTCAACACCTTAGTATGCCTGGCTACTATCAGGTATGTTGAACTATGACCGTGTTCACACTAGCAAGACAATAGTTATCCAACACTGACTTGAGAGCTGAGGTAAAGGCATGAGAGGCCTGCTGTGTTACATAAGCTACATAACACTAGAAATTCACCTCCTTTTAGTGCCCACATGCCATTCAACAGTTTCTCCTCCTCTTTCAGGGAAATCTTGAACATTGAACCTGACATTTCAAGTACTTGAAAGCCTGTTCCCTTCTTTTGGGAGAGGTTATACTCCTCAATCACATCAGCATTGCAGGATAGTGGAGATAGTCAATTGAAGGAGGCTTCCAAGACCAGGGAATTGTGGTTGAGGAGATAGAAGACAAATCAGTGCAGTATTAATTAGGACTACCAACAATGTCAGAATTCATTTGACAGGAAGGCTTTAAGCTGATGTGCAAGCCACAGGAAAAAGATAACTTCTTTTAACTGTTAAATATTGCTGTAAATAAAGTTTCTATGGTATCTATTTAAGAATAAAGTATATGAGGTCATTATCCAGCATGTACTATCTCCTTATATTTGAAATTATAGTTATACAGGAGTAGGCCTTGAACCACATGTTATTGAGACAGCATTCATTTTCATACTAGGATTAAAGAAGCTAAAGCCAGCTAGTGCAACTTTTTATGAAAAACTGAATTTTAAAAAGAGCAGTTTTCCCTCTCCAAACTTTCTACTTTTCACCCTTCCCATCCCTCCTCTCCTCTCTCGGTAAGGTCTTGTCTACTTAAGTGTGAAGATAGTCACTGGAGAATAACTCCTGTGGTCCTGCACTTTGCAACATTAAGATTCTGATTAAGCTTGAAACCAGTCATGATTCAAAATGCCACTGGAAGCACTCTGATTAAGGAGAAAGTCTAGTACTAATGAATGTAACAGAATTCTCTCAGTGGCAACATGCTAGATTTCTAGGCTCAAGTTTCAGTCCTTCAGAGGAGACTTTGTACAGCTTACTATGATGTCCTCACAGGCACCATTTCCATGGACAAACATGTATGAAAGATCTTCCCTTTTAAACATCCAAAGGCCAATTATACAATAGTTACCATAGCCAGTTGTCTTCCTATGTTTCCTACAGTCACGCCTCCTGAGAAAAATATACATGGTAGCCAAGAACGGATGTAAAGAAAATCAGGTGATGTATACCTAAAGCAAACAAAAAAGTTATTAAATTAGAAAAAACCCAACAAAAGTGGAAATATAGTGTCTTGTATAGAAGTATAGTAGTGTGAGGAATTTAGCCCTGCCTCAAAGTGGTGATAGCAGGACATAATCCTCCTCTTTTAAAAAATCCAATGTTAGATTAAGGTCAGTTTCCAGCCAAAGAAGATTAAGCAATTCCTTCTCTGTGGAGCTAGTCAATGGCACTTCAAGGTCAGAAGGGGTGACAGGGAGGAGGGGGGAGAGAGACAGAGGCTGCTGTCATGGAGCAGCCTCTGTCTGTGGCGAGCTAGGGCCCACCATGGACAGAGGCTGCTTCATGGTAGCCTTTCCTTCCCCTTCCCCACGCTGCTTCCTGATAGTGGCAGCAGCATGGAGAGGGGGCAGGAGGTACTATGAAGCCGGTGCTGTGGGGAGTTGGCTTTTAAGCCAGCTACCCCCAGGACTGGCGCCTGCCTGCCCTCCCCACTGCCTCTGTATGAGGTGCATGCGTGTGGAGCTGGCACACGTGAACAGCCAGCTTAAAATCTGGCTCCCCATGCATATCGGCTCTCGCCTGCCCCTGCACTGCTGTCTCTATCAGAGGCAGCAGCGCAGGAGCGGAGCCCAGTCTTATCAGTTAATCATGTAGTCATCTACATGTTGACATCCCTAGATTCTGTATGAGAGGACACATGACAGTGGCATTACAGCATGCTAAGGGACTGCCCTTAGTTCAGAAGTGGTAAATTACTCGTGTATATAGGTTACAAAATATTTTAATTTTGAATTTCAAGTTATTGTAGTTTCCCTATTTTACAAAAAGAAAAATTCTCTAGAAGTCAGGTTAGTTAAGTGCTAAGTTTGAAATGTTGTACTTACTGATAAACACCATTATATACGAGAAACTGGGTGATCAGAGTAGCTAGAAAGGCTATTGTAATTCCAAGACCAAGACCACTTCTTGAACGATCAAATGTCCACCAAAGGCCCAGTGACAATGCTGCTAGAGTCAAGGAGAGTTGAATGTTATTTGCAAAATCCAGTTTCTGATAAGACCGTTAAGGAAAATTCCTTACAGATTGTTTGAAAAAAATTTGTGGCAACAAACTTCTTTCTTGTTGTCTACATGAGATATTAAAGTTGACCATTTAAGAGTGACAATTGATTCTGGATGCTCAGTGAGACTTTGGAGATGATTTTCAGAGACCCTATTGACTTTCAGTTGGAGTTGTGAGCTTTTAACTGTGACCATCAGGCCTGAGCTACTCATACCAAGCACCCAAAGATTAAGGAATCCCAATGTAGGGGGATTTTTTTTTAAATTGGCCACAACTTTTAAGACCTTTTCCCTCCTTTCTGTGGATTTAAGTCTTCTGCTGAAATAGTATCTATTTTAATTTCAATAGAATGAGCATCCATACAGGTTGAACCTCTCTAGTCCAGCAACATCTGTGGTCCAGCATGATTTTAGTTAGCCAGATATCTACTTATCATGGGTGTGACCAAGTTTCCCATGGTTCCATAAAGTTGGTCTACAGCAACCAGTCCTGACTCAGAGTTCTGTGCCTGATAGCTCTAATTTACTTCTAAATGTCTTCTAAGAGCCCAGTAAGAAGTGGAAGTGTTTGGTAATGTTGATAGACAATATTGACCTCCTGTGGTTTGGCAATTCGGTGGTTCAGCACCAGTTAGGTCCTGACTAGAGATTCAACCTTTACCAGCAATTTGAGACTACAGTTAGTATTGGTGAGAAACCAATCTTTGAGCATTAACCATTATAGCAACCAAAAGGTCATATCTCTAGTTCAAATGTTACATTGATTCAACTGGCACACATTCGAAAACAGTTTGACAGATGGAGAATATGATCTGTTACAAATGCATACTTGAAGTTATAGCTATAAAACGTGTGTAGGTTAGTGATAGAAATGTAGCCGTGTTAGTCTGGGGTAGTTGAAGCAAAATGCAGGACAATGTAGCACTTTAAAGACTAACAAGATGGTTTATTAGATGATGAGCTTTCGTGGGCCAGACCCACTTCCTCAGATCAAATAGTGGAAGAAAGTAGTCACAACCATATATACCAAAGGATACAATTTAAAAAAATGAACAAATATGAAAAGGACAAATCACATTGCAGAACAGAAGGAGGATGCGGGGGGGTGGGAAGGGGGAGGAAGGAAGGTAAGTGTCTGTGAATTGCTGATATTAAAGGTAGGGAGAGTGGGATGTTTGTGAGTTAATGGTATTACAGGTGATAATTGGGGAAACTGTCTTGATAATGGGTGAGAAAGTTCAAAGACTTGTTAAGTCCCTGGTGGTAAGTGTCGAATTTTAACATGAATGACAGTTCAGAGGATTCCCTTTCAAGTGCAGATGTAAAAGGTCTTTGTAGCAGAATGCAGGTGGCTAAGTCATTTAGAGAGTGTCCTTTCTGGTTAAAGTGGCAAGAAACTGTTTTCTCTTTGTGATCTTGTCTAATATCTGTTTTGTGGGCATTAATCCTTTGGCGAAGTGTCTGAGATGTTTGTCCAATGTACATAGCAGACGGACACTTTCGGCACATGATAGCGTAGATTATATTTCTGGATGCGCAGGAATATGTGTTCTTGATCTTATAACTCACTTGGTTAGGTCCAATAATGGTATCAGCAGAATGAATATGTGGACAAAGCTGGCAACGGGGTTTGTTGCAAGGGAAGGTACCAGGGTTGGTATTAGTGTGGTATGTCCTGTGGTGGTTGGTAAGAATCATCTTGAGGTTAGGTGGTTGTCTATAGGAGACTATGGGTCTGTCTCCCAGAGCCTCTTTGAGTATGGTATCCTGTTCCAATATAGGCTGTAGTTTCTTGATAATGTGTTGGACAGGTTTAAGTTGGGGGTTGTAGGTGATGACAAGTGGTGTTCTATTGTTGGTTTTCTTGGGTCTGTCTTGAAGTAGATGGTTTCTAGGTATTCGTCTGGCTCTTTCAATTTGCTTTTTTGTTTCTCTGGGTGGGTAGTTGAGATTTATAAATGCTTGGTAGAGATCCTGAAGCTTCTGGTCTCTGTCAGTGGGGTTAGAGCAGATGCGGTGTGTAGGTTATGAACTCTAGGGATGTTAAATTTAGCTTTAGATTAATTGGCTAATGGAATAGTCAATTTGCATAGACTATTTGATTAGTCAATAAGGGCACCTCCACCTCTGAAGTGCAGCAACAGCCCTAGGACTGTTGCTATACTCCAAAGGCGAAAGCACTGCATGGGGCTATTGGGGGGTCCCATGCGGTTCCCACTGGCCCTGTGCTCACTGAACCATCACCGAATGAAGCCTGGGATCAGCAGAGGTCCCCACCTGACCCTTGGCTCCAAATGGCGCTGCCACTTTGAAACACTGCGTGGAACCTGGGCCAGCTGGAGACTCTGGGCTGCACATGGCGTTTCAAAGCAGCAACGCTGCATGGAGCCCAGGGTCTGGTCCAAGGCTCCATGCGGCACTGCTGCTTTGAAGAACCCTTTCCTCTTCTCCCTCCCCTTGTTGCCTCTGATAGAATCAGCAAGTAAGTGTGTGTGTGTGTGTGTGTGTATGTGGAGAAGCAGCCAGTTGACTAATGTGTTGACTATCCAATAAGCATTTGTTGTTCATATCCCTAATGACCACATCTCTTCCATCAGCATTAAGTCTGACCTGTGTAAGTCACTCAATATTGAATGGGAAGACAAACCACTGCTACCATGGTTCATTATAAATAAACATTTAAATAAACATGCAAAAAAGTAAACTAGATCAAGGATACAGCACTTGCATGGTTAATACCAACAAAAACTGCTATGCATCGCATTACACTGGCCCATTCTCTCTTGAATTTGTGTGGTTCTCCAAGATGGCTGTCAATACAGGGGTACAGCAGGCCAACAACAGCTGTAAGAATGAAAGGAGACAGCTTGTACATAGCATTTACACAATTAATATTTCTGCATTAATTTGGCAAATAAATGCATGGCAAAGCCTTCTAAGCAAAGACTTGTAATTTTATATATGGGGGTACTACCAAATTCATGTCTGAAAAACATGTAATGGACTGAAATCTGGTTTCCCCATGAAATCTATAGGTAAAAGTCTACAGCATTTCTCAAACTGGGGGTCCTGTCCAAAATGTGATTGCAAAGTGATCACAGTATTGCCACCTTTGCCTAGCTCTGAAAGGAGCAAAGAAGTAATCAGGGAAGAGTGATTACCAGCTGGGCACCCAGCTTAGAAAGCAATGCTGCAGCAGCACAGAAGTAAGGATGGTAAGATATAGTGCAGTCTCATGATTCTTTCTGGGTGATTTTTGTGATGGCTCTGCCTTCAGAGATGGGCACCCAGACAGCTGTTCCTTGGCCACCCAGCTCTAAAGGCAGCATAGAAGTAAGGATGGTATAGAAATGAGGACTACTCCAGAGTCAGGGGACTTGCTCTTAGGAGAAGGAACAGTTTGCGTGTCACTTTGTATGGCTTCATCTGAATATTACCTGTTACACAATGGTCACAACTCAGAACATTACTGAAAATTTAAACAGTGAAGACTAATATTCCTTTACTTTCAAGAGTTCAGAGTAGTGAATAGGGAGGTTAGATAGTGATTAACTGAATAGTTGTATAACCACATCGAATTTTAGTGGTTACATGACAATTCAATAGTCCCTGGGGGCAGAACTGGGGGCAGAACTGGCAGCCAGTGCACTCCTGGCCTCACTCCCAGGGAGCACCCACCACCCTGTGCTGCTGCCTCTGATTCAGAGGCAGCAGCATGGGGTAGCAGCAGCCCCTGCCTGCGGGGGATCCGAGCTTCACGCAGACAAACTCGCATGAGCCGATAGGTGTGGGGGGCTGGCTTGAAAGCCAGATTCCCATGTGTACCAGCTCCCCCCGCACCTCTGCTGCCTTTGATACAGAGGCAGCTGGAGGGGGAGGGGGAAAGAAGTGCATGTAGTCAATAAGATTAACCAATAAGCCTAGGCTTAACGGTTAACCGTGTATTTGCCTACATGTTGACAGCCCTAATAGCGAAGGCACCATCCAGTAACAGCTGAATAGGCATGACTGAGTTATAGGCAGCTTGAGTTTGGGCCGGATCCAAAGACCACTGAAGTCACTACAACTCATGACTAGGGATGTTAAAGTGTAACTGTGTACGTGGTTAACTGATGAGCCTGGGTTCATTGGTTAGCCTTCACGGTTACATGTAGGCTCATGGTACACAGTTTGCCTCTGGAGAGCCAGCTGCCCTCCCCTCTGCATCAGAGGCAGCAGAATGTGGGGTGCAGGAGGGACAAGCAGGAGCCAGAGCACAACAGCTCCAGGGATACTAACTGCCCTCCTCTGTGTGTAACCACTGAAATTTTTGCAGTTACAGGGTTTACTTTATAACCGTATTTTAACATTCCTGATCAGGAGCACAAATACTGTCTGGACTTGAATCACGAGCAGAACTTTGCCTCCCACCCTAGCTATAAAAAAAATTCCAAGGTTGTCACTCTGAAGACTAGAATGTCTGAATAAGTGTGAAGTGATGAGAACAATGGCAAGTATGGTTGAACACTGTTTAGAATATCACCAGGTTCAGTCACCACTGAGATTCATGATCCATCACTAGCCACTTAGTTCTTAGCTATAATCGACTTTACAAATCATACCCATAGTATGGACTTTCAGCTACTACATCTATATAGAAGCACTAGATCACGGTGACAGTTAACAGCCAATTACCAGCCTTATTGCATACCTAATCTGTATATAATAATTTCATTTGTTGTAATGAGTCAGTGATAGGAGGGAGCCAGAACAAGATGGATTATTTGGCTCAATTGCCACAATTCTTCAAAGGTTGATTTACCACGTATACAACTCAATGCAAACTCCCCAATGCAACCCATTCATTAAACAAGTCAATATAACCACCAACACAAGAGTCTATGATAGCCTGTGAAAGAGTGACATTCGAATACTAGATGGATTATAAATGACCCATTTCTACTCCCATTCAGGTCAAGAAAATAGTAGGTGCAAACAATTTATTTTGTTTTAAGAGTTGGTCAAATTCATGAGCGCATTTTTATGACCAGATAGCTTTTGATAGAAGGGGGAAGGCTCAACAGCACTTCCAGTTTGTCTTGGCTTCAGCATTCTAGCCTACCCCCTGCTAGCGTCAGGCATTCATTAGTCCCCCTTATGGATATCAGATATACGCCGGAAAGATGGTTTTAAATACCACATTTCTAAAGCATCAGGGAGGACCACAACTGGAGATGGGACCACTCCATATGGTACAGAGCATTCTCTCCTCTGGTGCTTGGATAGCTGTTCTTATTGACAGCCATATGTGGGGTCAGGAAGGAATTTTCTTCCCCAGATCAAAGGCAAAAATGGAACATTTCCGCCCTCCCCCCAGGTCACTGCCATTCTTTGCAGCAGAAGGTGCAA